AAAAAAAAAAAAAAAAAAAGTCTTCCAAGGGAGGAATCCCTATACAGGCTGTTTTCCCCCTCCAGGCTTTAGGCCTAAGTACACTCTAGGTGGGATGTACTGCAAGAGGCTCTGGCCAGCTGTCCCTTCTTGCCTGCTCCACTCCTGGGAGGAGGTCCCAGGTGGGCATACTTTCCATATCTGCTGCTGCTTGCAACAGAAAACCAGCAGAGTGCTGTGTGCCTGGTGCAGGTATGAGCAACCTTCCACTTAGGCCTGAAACTACTGCCCTAACCCTGTTCATGAAGAAGCCAGGTGCCCAACGGTCATATTGGAAAATGACTGATACAGGAGAAGACATTGATGAAGAAGAAATAGCAGAATCTCCAAGTTAGATAGACTTCATTGCTAGAGCTGTGAGTGGTCACAGAAACGGGTCCTTGGTCCTGGGAAACATCCTGAGAGACAGCCCAGCAATTAAAGGATGCCATGGTAGTCAGTTTGGCCAGAATCACCTCCAAGTCTCCAGAAAGGGAAGAGGGAAGAGAAAAGTATTGACAAAGCCAGCTGAGGTGATCATGTTGTTTCTGATAGGGCATAACAACAGTTCTGAGACGGTTTCTTTTGTTTTGACCCATTAGATACTGCCCTGGGAATGTTTCCTCAGTCTGTGCCTTCATTTGTAGGAGGCAGGGGAGGAGATGGGCCCATATTTCTGCTCAAGACTAATGCCCATCCAGTTGGTATACAGGAGCCTAGGGACAGGGATTATCTGAGTGAGAGCGGATCTCACTGGCATGTGGGTGTGTCATGTCCTGTGAGATGTACCTAGAATGGTCCAGTTGACTCCCCCTCCCTCTGCCAAAGCTGACCTCTTTTCTCTGATAAGCTGTTCCAGGGAAGCCTGAAGCACTAGGTGGTGTTCCCTAGGGCCCAAGTGTGCAATGTTTTCTGAAGGTTATCCCAGTTCTTAGGTGGTAAACACTGCTGTGTCAGGGTGCTGCTCTGGGGCCAATTGGAATACATGGATTTTTGCTAGCAGGATTGTGAAGCTTTGCATTGGGCTGCGAAGCCAGGGCTTGAGCCAGCAGCTGGATAGAGTCCAGGACTAGAGTGTTTTTGGGTTTGGGGATGGAGAGCTGAGGGAGAGAGGGACAGGCAGAGGGCAGAGCTACGTAAGCTGACAGCGGCTGTTTTGGCTTTGCTGTCAGCAAAGAGGACTTTAGTTTTGTCTGAGGGCCGCTTGGCCACATTGCTGGAGACCAGAGGGCACTGCCTTAGAACCCTGACTTAACGGGCACTGCACCCAGACTATTCCAAGTAGCTCTAGTGCTGTTTTTTCCCTGGGAGGCAAGTCTCCTCCCTGTTGTCCCTCCTGCTCCTCCCCCCGTTCTGTGAGGGATGATGCCGCTCTCTATTGCACGGCTCAGCCGGCTGATGTCACTGGCAGCGGGAAGCATCAGCAGCCTGATCACATGCTGGCTCAGTCTGTGTTGCAGACAGGATAGGGGTGTGTTGTGGGGAGGGGGCTGTATGGCAACTGCTCTTACTCAAACCCCCCCAAAAGTGTGGAGGCAGCAGCTGCAGCATCCAGCCGGCTTGGATGTCTGGCCCCTAAGCCTAGGGAAACTATTATTAATAGTATTTATTGTTGATAATACCGGGAAGAACAGCCCTTAACTCTAGGGTTTCTACTATCCTCCCATTCAAAGCAGACTTCCAGGACTCTGAAGAAACAGTTACAAGCAAGATGCTTTTCCCCACCTCTGCGCAAGAATCTTCCCGTGGCCTCCCAGATGCAAATGACTTGTGCCTTGGCCTGCAGTCCCTCAGTCTAACAGGCTGGGACCGACCCTGGAGCACCCAGGACTCAGACTCCTCAGCCCAGAGCAGCACACATTCAGGTAAGTGCAAGAGAATGAGTCAGCTTGGGGGTGGGGTGTGCAGGGGGTGGTAGTGGAGGAGGATAACTACAGCAACAGTTGTTCTTCTCCCCTTTGCTCACTCCCTGTACACACACACAACATGGAGCTGTTTTGCAAGAGATGGAAATGCTAGCTGTGAATGTGGCAGGACAGATGGCTGCTCACAAAGCCAGGCAGGGCTTTTCCACTTACCCTGATAAATTCCCTGGAGTAGTTAGTCTATACCTGGGTGGCCCTGAGAAGGGTCCCCAGGGTGATAGCCTTATGCAGAGAAGATCCAGCTAACTCCCTGGTGCCCAGGCCTGTCTTCTAGATGATGAAGCAAAACACTTTTAGGTGGGGGAGGGGACTTAAGGGACTAATTACTAGATGACCAGATTCTCTCAGTGTCTTTTAAAACTAGGGAGCTACATATGGAGGGCAGGTACTTCCTGAATCATTGTGAGGGGGAAAAACTAACTCAGGTGAAGCTTGGTACCTAGTGCTAGGATATTGAAACTTCCTTTACATAAGGTTAAGAACATTGATCTTGAAAGGGGTAGGCAAAGTGAGGAGACTTAGTGTAGCCACAGAGGCCTGCCCATGCATGAATGCTCTCTCTGGCTCGCGCCCTCCC